AGTCCATCAGTCGAGGGCCGCCGGACGTGTGGATATCGGCCGAAATCGCGTTGGACTCTGGTGCTCTCCCACTGGACTTCTTTTGTACGGCCGTGATGCTTTCTTGTCGATAGGATGGACGGTATATTTTGGCGGCGGACTCCACTTGAGTGAACTCTTTGATGATGGCATGGGAGATTGTGGGTGGTCGGTTGGTAGTGCGGCGAAAGTGCTTGACCAAGCGCTTCTGAATTTAAAATTTCTCTCTTATACCTACTGTTTCGCCTGAGCTGAACAGAAGCGTGGTCACTTTGATGAGGACGCCGAAGAAGTCTTTAGCATCACTGTGGTCCGCATATGTTAGTATTTCTTCGGCCTTACGACAAGTTCACGGGTCTTGGGTCTTCTGCAATCGCTGTTGCACAAAGCGTTGACATCTGAAAACAACCGTCTTGTTTGTGACGTTTGCGTGATTGACGTAGACTGTGTGCAGGCTATCGTTTTCGGGCGGCAAATTATGGATTTGTTCGTCGCCGTCGCCGAAACGATCCTGAAGTTGACGTCTTGTAAGACCAATTAATTCCAGGACCGTTAAGTGTGCAAGGCTCCGTATTTGGCGAATTTGCGTTTGTACCGTTAAATTGTCCTCCGTAGTCTGCTTTACCAGGCGGTCCGTCAGTCGAATGACCCTTAACGGTGCTCATACACACTCTGAAAAGCAGTATTTACCTTCCTCGATGACCGCTCAGCTTGCGGTCACGGATTCGCAGTCCCGTCTTGAAAGCAGGAAGGAGGCCCGTCTAGTCGTCGACGTAACAGATCATCTTTGACACCTGCACGTCGTGTCAGTCTCGGCTCCTTACGAAAAGCTGTGCAGCATCCGGCAGCGTCGCGATCGGGGAGCAATCAAGTGGACTTTTTCCTAGTCAGAAGCTCTTGGTGAGGAGTAGTAAATGTTCTGCGCAGGTGTATAGGGGGTGGAGAGACGGAGCCGTTTTCGTTGCATCTGCATTGTGGGACTCTAGGGTTTACGACATTAGGGGGTAGACTTCTAAAAGGACATCAAGAAAGTTGTTTACTTAGGATCTCAATCAGAAACGCCAAGCATATTCACACCAGCGGGTCCCGCCGGTTTCTCCTAACCCCGTCTTCCCACAAACTCGGATAACCAGCAGGACGAATGCAACAGAATGGCGATTTTGAGTGCTGACTTAGTGGAAGACTTCCTTCTCAGTTACACGATCATTCGATGCAAACTCATCAGGACTCATGCCAGACTGGATATGCGCGTACGCCTAGAATAGGCTAGCTGTGTCGCCTCAGCTATGCAGGTTGCATATTTTCGATCAAATGCTTCCGTAAAGGGCTACAAGGTAACGCAGCTAGAACACTGGTCAACCTCATACCGCTTGCAACCCAAAGGAGGGAGTAGATGGTAACGTGCCGTAACTGCTAAGAACTATGGTGACTATTCCAAAATGCAGCCCTAAATGATGGCGAAGCAAACTTGGAGGGCACAGGTCTCCTCGAATGAGCTGTCAAAAGATGAGGATTGCCATTGTGCGGGGGCTAGCATGCCATATCCAACCTCGACATCACCGTACTCATCTAGGGAATTTCGTCGAACTAACTTTCTTGCAGTTGTTTATAACTGACTGGTAGGCACGGTACGCTCAAAGTCAGTCTTTCCAACCGAAGAAGATAAAAAAAGCCGAACGAATGCATCTTCAGAACCTATTTGCAGCTAATGGTTATCCCAGACATTTTATTGAGAGAGGAATACGTCGGGCGCACAGGCGACGGCCAAATGAGCCGCAAGCTGAAGTCTGGAGGGCCATTCCCTACGTTAAAGGGCTTTCTGTGGCGTTCTCTCATTTTTTACAACCTACCAGAGTAGGCATAGCCCACCGACCCCAGGCAATAATTCGACGCCTTTTGATGCAACCTAAGGACCCATTGCCATCCGTCGAAACCTCAGCAGTTATCGACAAAATAAATTGCAATGAGGACGACTGCAACTATGTGGGAGAAACCGGGCGGAAATTGCAACCTCGCCTACAAGAGCACAAAACGGCTACTCGGAGGTTAGACCCAAACTCTCAACTAGCAACACACGTTGGAGAAACTGGGCATACCTTCGGTCTCCAGCGGGCTACCATCTTTGGCCGAGCAACACAAAAACAAAACGGCTAACTCTCGAGGCCTGGTTCTCCGATGCCCACTCCATCAACAGGCATCTGGACCTTCCTACAGCGTACAATGTCTTGCGTCATCATCATCGTAGAGCTCAGGACCAAGCAACCACACCGGGCTTAAGAAGGCCATACGGCGACAGCCCGACTGCGAGTTTACCCGGTGAAAAAAACATGAACCGCCAGACCGACCCCAAGACACTGGTTCAGTCACCTCCCCCCGAAGGAGTGGTGACTCACAACGCACGCAGACAAAACGCCCGTCAATCATCGCCCGAGAGACCGGGGCGGCGAGAGGAGAGAAAAATCGATCAGCATAAGGCCGACCAACGTGACACGGCACTTGGGATTTCTGGTCGATTAAGGGTATTTTACGCTTTGACAATGGAGAACCGACCAAGCTCTTCGAAACGCCAGCATCTAAATAAACCTGTTCCGGTGAGCCTACCTTATTCTTCTTCTCCCCCTTCTTCTTCTTCTTCTTCTTCTTCTTCTTCTTCTTCTTCTTCTTCTTCGTCTTTTTCTTCTTCTTCTTCCTCTTCTTCTTCTTCATGTTCTTCAAACAACTGAATATTTCCTTCATTTATAGCAGGTTCCAATGTTGGTTACTGCGAGGCGATAGCAGACTCTGATCAAGCTCGCGAGATTCCTGAAAAATCTTCCGTCATCGAGATTTGTCAGAGCGCACTGTATCTTACCGCAATGACCACTGGAGAAAAATAAGAACAATAAAGCAGTCTCTATTTGCAAATGAATTTTAATTATTCAGATGTCGTCGGAGGATAAACAGTTGGTCAAAACAATCCCTTGCAATCTCCCAATCGTCCAACAATAACCTAGAACAATAACTTTTGGGTCAGATTAAATCATTCGAACGCTGTCAAAAGCGCCCATTAAATACTTGAGCCTAGTGGTAATCTGGTGGATTATAGATTGACTACTTAGTAGTTCCTACTTGTCCAGTCGGCTTACTGTATCCGATTTGGTGGATTCTACAGGTTGGAGTAGGCCTTGCTGGTAAGGTGACCCGAATGTGATTAATCTAGCGCCTCCCAGTGGACCCTTGCAACTCGGGTCGCCAGAGAGTTGGCTGTACTCAAGCCTCCCCCTTGCTGTCGTGGATTTGAATGTCATCGAGGTCACCGAGGTTTTCACAGTTGGGTCAAAACAAGTAAACGATGGAATTTTCCCGAACTGATGCTCAGACCACGCTGCAGTTTACATAATAATTCAGTTCGTCTGCCCCTTTCCGTAATATGGTGGTAATCATCTGCTTTAACGCTGGTTTGAATATGCTTATCGCTTAATCTGGTATCGTAAATAACCTTTAAGCGTGTTGGATAGTTAGACAAATACTCGAGGATTAAAACCAACAACGGCAAAAGAATGGAGGCTGGCACGGCCGAGGCCGAAACAAATACCCAGGCACATTAACGTCCTCTTTTACATGCGGCTTTGGTAGCAGAAGAATCATCTTGAAATCAAAATCAGAGCAGTATGTGTATTGGTTGCTTTAACGTATGTCGGCACGTTTTCTATGGCTTGCACAACAATACAGTGGGTAGGCTAAGTCATGAAATGTCAATCGAAATTCCCAAATGCGTTTTCGTTTCGGAAGGATTAATTAAGTAGGGTTGAAAAATAATCAGCCTGCAGCACAATTCTATAATAATTCAGTTACCGCGGGATGACCGGCTTTCGAAAGAACTTCCGGCTGCAAAAATGACTACTCAAGGAGCATGAAACTTTCTCACTGATTTTTGACGCCTTTACATATCCAATTATATTTCATGGAAAACATGAATAAAATTATTAATTCTTTCGCTCATTTGGTAGATGATTACGTCTTCTTCCAATCTTATTCTCGAAGGAAGGGTGTAATTCGGTTTTCAAAAGCTGTTCCAATTCCCGAATAATTTTGAACCCGCTCTGCCGTTACACTTGGATTCAAGGTTTCCAAACTACAAGTCGTATATTGTCCGCGTACAGAAAACCACACATTTATCTACAGTATTAGGAGGAGGTCATATAGCGTTCATAAAATCTGGCAGTGGATTTGATCCATAGTGTTAGCCTTACAAGCCACATTGGTAAATTCAAAGACATGACGATTTATGAACGGCCACTTCAGAGTATTTGAAAGACTCACAAATAGAGACTTTTTTTCAAACCTAGTTATCTCCCTCTTTCGAGTAAATGTTGTTCCAGTTTTGGGACAGGTAATTTGTGTCGACCGTCGTGTAGAGTATCACATCTCCTTGACACCTTATAAAACGCTAACGACAGCTGGATAAGGTGGTACTGATAGAATCCATGGGGACCGCAAATGAGCATTTATGACTTGTTAACCACCATCTGCCAGTCCTACCCAACCTGAGATTCCGATCCCCGATCCTTGATCATTGCGTGTGGCGCCGGATGTGGCCGGCTGATGACGGCTAACAGTCCAGAAATGACCTTCTTAGTCCCTCATTATCTTTGTAGGTACCACGTTACCTTCCCATAATAATAGTCGTTAGATGACTGTCTGTGAGGGAAGAAACCGTCCCGTTACATCTTCAGTGAGCGCCCATCAATCGTACCTAGTGAGGTTTGGTGCTTTCAGGGCCACTACGGACATTTGAAATCGATATGCACAATGAAGGCATGCTGTCGGTCATCTGAGGGATATTGAGCTCGGCGGTCTTGTTGGCGCATAGACTAGCAATTCTCCGACCGACTTCCATCCAACCTCACCGACGACCCTCCCGAGCACTTTTGACTTCCACCATACCTTCCCATCAGACAGGATATATTGATTTACAATGGCTTAGGACCTCCCTGAGTGTTGAGGTTTCCGAACACTACTACCACTACTACTACTAATACTACTACTACTACTACTACTACTACTACTACTATTAATACTACTACTAGACAAACGCAATTACGTGGTGGATGAAATGGTGCGTCGTCGACAGGGTTTATAAGCGCCTCAGGGGTTATTCACACCCCTTGTTCTCACGCCGCCGCCGTCGCCGTGGCGATTTCGGCGGGCTGGGGACACAAGGGCAGGGGGTGGTAGGTTGTTGGCTACACCACGCGTCCACAGGCGGCGAATAATGGGACGACCTCAGTGAAGGTTAGATACGAAATAAGTAGACCCAGGTCTGACGAATAAGCAGTCGCAGACCAGCAGCGACATTGCTACCAGGATGCGGAGGACTGAGTTCTGGTACGCCGAAAGCCTTATAAAAAAAGCCACAAAACCCGATTACGGCATTACGACATGGCGACTGTCAACCGCCATTAAATAAGTTTGCTTGCATCGCTGCCTCGGGGTTAGACTTTTAAGCTAAAGCGCTAGAGGAGACATCCTCGAACAAACGGTCCGAGCGGCCGTTGGCGACCCGCCTCTACCCGAAATTCCAAAGAAACCTCAGGAAATATGTTCAAATAAAGTATTAAGACCCATGCTACGGCGTCTACGGGGACCGACGCGCTCCGCAATCCTGTTCCAGTGGTAAGGGCTAAAAGTATACGGACTAAACTACGCAATAGGGGACGGAATCTTAATATTGGATGCTGGAATTTGCGAACGTTCCTAGACCCCGTTACCCACAGTATAACCTGGATGTCAGCTGTCTGTCTGAAGTTCGACCTCCTGACTCAGGCTGTCGAGAAATAAAGATCTCTGGAGTCAAATCACACTTCACCCTATACAACAGCAGTCCGCGCGACTCTTCTGGTAGACATGGCGTGTCTATCGCCCTCTCGCCACAAGCGCACCTTGCCTTACTTGTTTGGGAACCAGTAATTACCGGATTGCCTACGTGCAACTGAGAGATCACTTTACGAACATCTCCGTCTTCTCTGTGTACGCATCAACTTCAGCTGCCAAACATAGCAATAAAGAGACCTCTTGCTCGCAGTTGCAAGCGTTAGTTGAAAGACTGCCTTGCCGCGATCTGCTGATTGTTGCCGGGGATTGGAATGGTCGAAGTGGATCTGGCGACGCCACAGTCATCTTCTTGGCCGCTATGAGCTTAGTTCGCAAGGTGAAAGTGGCAAGAGATTGCCGAACTTTGCTGATCAGAACCGACTGCTTGTCACCAGCACATGCTTCCAGCAGCGCACAAAACATCTGCTGACCTGCTATTCAAATGACAGCCATACGGCCAGTCAGACTGACTACAAACCAGTCAGCTCAAGATTTCGTAGCTGGTTTCACGATAGCAGATCGATGCGTTTTGCCGAGACTGGTAACACCCATGGGTCGGACCACGCTTGAAAGTTCACCTCTCATGCCCGCCAGAATGCCACATCCTAGACGCCTTGATATCGCAAATGTCCAGCAATCCAGCACTTCTGAGGCCCTTAGTAGCGAAATTCGGTCTTCTTATACGACTGAGGTGGTTTTGACATGTTCTTCGTCGTCCACCTCAGAAGATCAGTGTTACTGCCCTCGATCCGGCACCGTTGCCCCATTGGAGACGTCGAAGAGGGGGTCAATTCAAAGCCTGCGTCGACACAGTCCGCTAAGACATGGAGGTGGTTTTCGGACCTTCGGTATTGGGTATCCGTCGTTGGCGAAGAGGATGGGTTGAACTGTCCAGAGTTGCTACAGCGGATCGTCGCGCGTGGAGAGGTACAGTTTGAGACATCATCGAGGCCGGCTAGATCAGGCATGATCGCAGCCGTACCAAGCACAAGTAGTATGTGAAGACGTCTTTAGGTCAAACCCCGGGAGATGTGGATTGGGGCCGTACGGGAACAAGGATTTTAACTAACTCTTCCCCCCCCTCAGACACCCGCAATCCTTGTTATCGATTCATATTATCTATCTCCATGTAATTGTATTGGCCTGGCGGTGAATTCCCAGGTACATATGTCTGCAACTTTGACTTTTTATTGTCATTTATTTAATAGCCGGTAGTAGTTGTTAGCCTTCGCTAGCAACTCAGGCCGGGAATGAGCATTTTCACTACTTGCATATTTTGGTCATAGTCCTTTCGACCTAAATAAGACTAGAGACTAATGGTGGGCTCCAAGTTGACAGGGTCTACAGACTAAGGTCACATACAACAGTGTCACTTGAGCATCAGTCAGCCCGTCAGACAATAGATAACCTGAGTTAATATCGCCTTCGTTGTACCTGTAGTCTTCTTATAGATGTATGCCCAACTTGTGTTCAACTTTACGGTACTTCAAGTAAATATCATTTACTCCTGCAGAAGGTGTCACCAGGCAGATTTGTTAAGCAATATTTTCATAAATTTGAGCCGACAATTTTGTAGGCTAATATGTGTCCCGGACTTCGGTTGAGCATCTCAGCGTGTTTTTCCTTGACAGGAGAGTAATTAACTCTTGAGAGTTCTGCCAAACAGAGCTTGATGCTCCTGAAAATGGATTTTTTTTGCCGGATGTTAAATGCTGGAATTAGTCTGCTAACACACTGGTTTTTTTGCAGAGAACCAGACGTTTTATCGATTTTTAGAAGTCAGTTTAGCAAATCTGTGCGATTCGGTACAGTAATAGCACACATATTCCTTCGTTTAAATGGGCTGAAATTGT